GAAGCAAATAGTGGCAGGCAGGCTTGGGAGGCGAGGGGGAGGCAGTTGGATCCAGCAGGCCAGGTCTCCCGGTGGGGCACTGCAGTTTGGCCCTAGGGCCGAGGGCTTCCAGCAGTGGGAGAGCCTGACCCCCCTGGGCCCTGGCGGCACCTCACCTCTTTTGGGTTCCCAGCAGGACCTGCCCCAGTGGTGGTGGTGGCACAGGGTGACAGTGGCAAGTGACACACTGGGCCGGGTGAGCTGAGTGGGGGGCTGGTGTGCTTTAACACCTGGCGCTGGTCCCCCAAAGGGACGCATTTGCCTGGAGCTTTACCTGCAAAGGCTGGGGGGATGGAGGGGGCTGGCAGCTTCCTTCCTCCGGCTCCTGGCTCAGCACTTCTCTGAGGCTCCCTCCCCACTAGATGCCTGCAGCCTGCCGGCCCCTTCCCCCCTGGCTCCCGCCCCCAGCCTCCTCCCCCTCCCTCTCACCCAGCTCCACTCCCTAACCTCTTTCTGGCTGTTTTTGCCGCTAGCTCTCCTGGGGTCCTCTTTCCACCCTTTCTCCTGGCCTGAGTCCCTCAAAGCCTGTCCCTGGGTGGGACTCCATCACTGCAGGGACTGACACGATGGACCTGGACGGCTTCAGGGACTGGGCAGGGCCAGGCCCCTGCAGGCTGAGTCTGCTCTGGGGCAGAAAGGGCGGAGCAGCAGATGCGCCTGGGTTTAGGAGGTCGGTGTGCGTGCAGTGTATATGAGCCCGCAGGTGACTCCGCTGGGACCGCAGGACCCACCATGGAGATGCAGGTTCCACAAGTGACAAGAATGGTGCTGCCCTCAGGGTCAGAGCTGGGCATAGGACAGGGAGAGGCATCTGCTGGGCCCCAGGAACGCAGAGCTCGGTGGCCTCCAGCGCAAATGCTTTGCTCTGCACGGGAGATCAAAGCCTCCAGGCTCCCGGCCCTGTGTAGGTGGGGCTCAGGACAGGTGCCACATCCCTGCTTCCGCTCCGTGTTGGAGCCTCCCCGGAAGGTGGGGAGGTGCTGCCCGCTGGCCGGTCAGGAAGAGAAACCAGCGCATCTGCCTGCAGGAATGCGGAAGGGGGGCTGTCCTGGAGTTGGGAGAGGGCGTGGGGTGCTCTGTGCTGACCGCAGCCTCCCAGGGCTTGGAGCCTGCCTGTGCATTGTGCTGCCTGCCTCTCGCCCCCACAAGCAGCCCATGGTAGCTTTACCCCCATGCTCCCCGCTGCGGTTAGAAAGCCCAGGACCCGCTCCGGGGGCTCTGAACTCAGCCCTCAGCTATGCCCCAGCACAATGGGCCCCTTTCTGCACAAGATGGGCTCGAGCAACCCTGTCCTGGACTTGTGACCTGAATGAGGGACAGAGCCACCCCAGGGCATCTCTAGCCTTGGTCATACTTGTGGCGGGCTGGCCTCAGGCCAGGGCGGACCAAGGAGAAAGAGAGGTCCCCTGGAGGAGGGAGCAGTGTTGTCCCCTCCAACGTGGCCCGGGCACCATCAGGCCCCTGAACAGATGCCTGGCGGAGCCCACCTTTCTCAGGTGCATTGTGGGTACCTGACAGGGTTTCCAGAAGGATGGAGCAGAGAAGGAAGGGTTGCTCAGGCAAGAAGAGAGCTGGTAGGGGGTCCAGGGAGGGGTGCGGGGAGGAAACTTCTAGAACATGCGTCACAGAGAGGCCAAGCCCAAGCCCATGGTACCACAGCGCAGAAGGGTGTACCACCCTTCACATCCTCTTTCTTGTTCTCTGCAGCCCGCACCTCTGGGCAGCCAGGGAAATCGGTGGGGGCCGGAAGCTTAGCTCCAGGCCCTGCACCCCCCTCAGCCTGGACAGCTGCTCTGTGCAGCTGCTGGGGGCTCTGGGGCTGCATGGGATTCGATTTGATTCAGGCCCCAAAATAGCCATCAAAGCAGGAAGTGCCCCCCTGCCCCCAGCCCCTCCAGGACTCCCCATCATGGCTGAGGTGACACCTTAGAGGTTCTGCCCCCTCCTCTGCCCACCACACTCCCCCTGGTCCCAGGGGACAAGGACCCACTCCCGTGTCCCTCTGCCACCTGCAGCCACCTCCTCCTCACCCGTCTCCACCCCAGAGCCACCCTGGCCACCCCACTCCTGCGCCCACACACGATTAGCAGCCCTTGTCCTGTTGTCAAGGGGGCAGGGTGCTCAGGGCTGAGGGGGGGCCAGCGGCCAGGCACGGGCAGCCGTGGAGGGCACACAAAGACACGGCTGCCCTGGCCTTTGATGAGTAATCCCGTTCCCTGGAGCCACGATTCCACTCGGCCGCTTGGCCCCCTGCCCCTCCCCCCTCCTCTCCTCAAATAAGACTCGGTTTTGTTCTGGGGACACAATTCAAGAAAATGTCACCCGGGGGGCGTGCCCCTTGGCCCCAGCCCTGACAACCGGAGCTCTTAATCACCCGGCCTCCTTCCTCTCGGCCTCCCTCCCCAGCAGCTGGCCAGCTGGGAGCTGGGGGAGGGGTCCGAGGTAGGGTAGGGGGACCAGTTACCACCTCCTGGGACCCAGGCCTCTGCCAGCCCAGGGTGAAAGCAGATGGTTTTCTCCTTCCCCGTGCTTCCTGGTGGCCTTCCTCTCTCAGTTCTTGGTTATTCTCTCCATCAAAACCAGCCAAGGCTCCTTCTAGGCTGGAGAGATGGGAGGACACTCAGAAACTCTGGGAAGGGCTGCACCAGGGACCTGGATAAGGAGCCAGTTCACACACATTGGGCACAAGGGAGACTGCTGTGCAAAGGCCCTGGGGTCTGTCCCTGGTGGGGTTAAGGACTGCTTTGGAGAGGCAAACTCTTCCCTCTGTTAAGTCCCTCAATGACCCTTCATCTGCCTGAAGTAGTCTTAGCCAGAAGCCACGTGCTGCTATGTAAACCATGTCCCAAGCTCTCCTTAGCCAAATGGCTGTCTCTAAGCCTTCTCCACACAGAACTTCTGGAACCTTCCCTGCTGACCTCTTTTTCTCTCTCGATCCTCCATTTCCCATACCAGCCAGTCTGATCTGTCCTCCAAAACCTGGGCCACCCATCCTAATCCAAAGCCTCAATTCACCTGAGCCCCTTGGCTGCCTCTCTCTGGTCTCCCCGCTCCATGCCTGACCCCTGCGAGGCATTTTCCACAGAGCAGACAAAGCAACCTTTCTAAAAAGGAAATCAAATCACTCCCTCACTTAAAAGCCTTGGAAGACTTCTCATGGCTCAAAGAATGAAACCCATATTCTTCTGTGAGCAGTCCAGAAGCTGGAAGACTCAGGCGCTCATCATGAGGGTGAGGGGCCCACAGGAAGAGCTGTTCTTCAGTGACCATGACGGGGACGATTACCCTGTGTCAGCCTCTGAGGTGACTCTGTGTACCTGAGCTCCCACGCAGATAAAAATAGAGTCAGGTATGGTGAGGCACACCTGTAATCCCAGCACTCCGGGGAGGCTGAGGCAGGAGGGTCACTACTTTCAGATTAGCCTGGGCAACCCCGTGTCACAATAAAACAGAAGGATTGGGAAGGCAGCTCCATGTGAAGGCTCTGTGTTCAATCCTTGTTACTAGAAAAGAGATACAGAAGAGAGAAAAAAGCAAGCCCAAAAGCCCAAGCCAATGTCCCCCAGCCACGCCCCCGTCTCATCTCCTATCCTCCTCCCTTCCCCTGCCCTGGCTACCTTGGGCTGCAGAGTGAAAAGATTTTTGCAATGTCTGGGTCTCGTTCCCTGAGCACGAGCAGGGAGTCCCCAGTAGATGTGGAGGTACTGAACTGAGAGGGCGCCTGGTCTAGCAGTGCAGCAGACAGGGTCTCGAGAAGTGTAAGGACCTTTTGTCAGTGGGGAGGGGACCGAGACATGGAGAAGGGTAGGGCCGTGAAGGGCAGGGGACGTCAAAAGGACCAGGTGTGTCACTGCATGTACCAACTCCCCATGACCCATGGTCCGATCTGCATGGCGCCCGCGTACCAGTGAAAATCAGAACAAAAAGAGGGAAATGCAGGAAACGTGCAGGGAGCCGCGCCTGTGACACGTAGGGAAATATTTGTAGGGAGGACAGAATGGTTCATGTGAACTAAATGTTTGTCTCTGAGGTTGGCCTTCAGAGCAGGGCCCCAGGTTCACCAGGCAGAGAGCAGGGGCAGAGCGCTTGGTCTGGGGTACCAGGACTTCACAGCGGGAACCCCAAAGGCCAGGGACTGAGCAGGAGGTGGGGAGCGGGGTCTGGCCCAGGAGCACGCTGGGAAACGAGCTGGGCTGGGAAGTGAGGGTGCAGACCAGGAATGGACTCGGAAGCCCCATTAGGACTTGGGATTTATCTTGAGGCCACGAAGCGACAGCCAAGATTTTAGAGCAGAGATGCGCGTAATCAGATTTGTGCTGTAGAGAGAGCTCTCCGGTGGCGGGGAGCGCGATGATAGATTAGAGAGAGGACAGACTGGAGTCACCGCGGAGGCCAACCGGTTCCGGGGAGGAATGGGGGCGGCCTGGGCTGGGCCGGGGCAGTGGGCCAGGACAGGTGGCCACTGGAGGGAGGTCTGCCTGGACCCAGCCAGGGGAACCGGGAAGAGGAAGTGTGAGGGGCAGGGCTGATGCCACCACCTGGGTGGAGCCTGCAGGGAAGGGCAGGTCAGGCTGGGGTGCACTGGGGGGTGTGTGCAGGTGGAGCCCTCTGGGCGGGAGTCAGAATGAGATGCGCCACGGGTCTCACCCACCTGCCCCCAGTCTTCCGGGAACCCTGCCTCTCGCGTCACCAGACCACTGTCCTGGAATCAGGGCGCAAGCGGGGGCAGGAGGCTCTGTACCCTGCACAGCTGGCGGCCACCTGCGGAAATCGGCAGGGCCCAGGGCCGGGGGGGGGGGGGGGCAGTGCCAGGAACCGGAGGACCCAGACCTCCACGGCTGCGCCTCGGGAAGCACCGAGCTGCCCGGACCCTCAGGTTCTGTGGACTCGGATGCGTAGACCACCCTTGCCACAGAGGGTCTCCCCCAACTGCCCACCCTACAGGCTGGGGTGGCCCAGTACAGATTGCTGGCTTAATTTTTTTTTTTTTTTGTCTTTTTGAGACAGGGTCTCGCTCTGCAGTCCTGGCTGGTCTCGATCTCCCAGCGATCCCCCTGCCTCAGCCTCCCGAGTGCTGGGATGACAAGCGCGTACCTGCATGCTGGCTCAGATTTGCTTTTGATTCCTGCACTCGATTCCTTTGCATTTGCCTCTGCCTACTGTACAGGGCTGGAACCCCACGGCTGCCACCACCACATGTGTGTGTCAGGGAGAGACAGGCAGAGTCCAGGCTAAAGGGGAAGTGATTTGGGGGACTCGGACCCACTACTTTCCCACCAGTCTCCGGAGCGCCACCCTGCAGACCGCGTAAGGACACCGGCTCCCCCTAGCGGCCAAGAGGCCGTTGCTTTTGCAGCTCAAATCCGCGGAGCATTGGATCTCAGCCGGGGTTCTGGGCAGCGTCGCTGTCCTCAGGCCTCCAGTGGACACCCCACTCGCCCTGGAGGACGAGCAGGGACCTGAGCCCACGACACTCTCTCCCTCCAGACCAGACGTCCACTGGAGCACGGGGAAGGGCGGGAGGCCGGGCCATCCACACCTGCTGGTCACAGCGGCCCAGAGCCCCTGGAGGACCAGGAAGCCTTCTCTGCCGCCACCCTCCAAGCCTCTTGGCTTCAATTTATCATCAAGTCCCTAAACCAGTTCCAAGTCCCACTGTGTGGCTTCGGTGGCACGGGACATGTTTCTCAGCACCGCAGTGCACGTCTGTGGAGTCCATGCTGTCCCTCCTGAGCCCAGCATCCTCCCCGCCCGCTCTGGGAGAGCATTTCTGAGGGAATGTGAAGAAACAGGTCTGTGTGAAGTGGGTCACTCCGTGGGGAGTCTTCCTTGGGGACCCCAGAGCTAGGCTCCATTGCCCCTGCTTCTAGAAGAGAAAATTGACCCTAATGTGTCTCTCAAGGCCACAGAGCTGGCAGACGGACAGAGCTGTGGTCTCCCCAGACCCCGGGATTCTCAGGCTTGGGGTTTCTTCCCTACCCACAGGAGTGTCCCCTGGACACGACGGGGACCTAAAGAGAGGGACCCAGACCTGCGGCCCCTCACCCTCCTTCCTCCCCTCCTTCCCCCCTCCCCACAAACTCTGCCTTGGGCTCCAGGCCCAGGGAGCCTAAAGTCGGGAACCACTCTCTGTCCTTTCTGAAATAGACATCAGCAGGGTACCAGGCTGGGAACATGTGGCAGTAGCATGTGGAGGCCAAGGGGCAGGCACCCACAGGGCCGGTCTTCTGGGGTCACTGACAAGGGGGCCCGGGAGCCTCAGCCATAAGCTCGGGGCCCTGGGATGACTGGACAGTGTCCCCCAGCTCTAGGCATGCTGGATGGTGTGCAGGGACAGAAGTGTCACAGAGTCCCTTGAGGGCAAGGTTCATCGCCTGACCCGCACGGCCTGGGCACCACTGGCCCCTGCACACAGAGCGCAGGGAGGGGGGGTGAGAACCGATGTGTCCCGGCCTCTGGAACCTGGTGCCACCAAAAGCGGCAGGTTGCAGGTTGCAGGGAAGGGGAGGGGAGGAGTGTGAGACAGAGGCTGGGGTGCCCAATCCCTGGCCCCACTCGCCCTGCCTCCCTCACCGCTGGAAGTCCAGGCCTCCTACTGAAGTCCCAGTGCCCGGTGTGATGGAGTCTGCCCTGCCTGCTGGGGAAGACAGGTCCCCTCAGCTCTCTGCCTCTGCCCCTGCTCCCTGGATGCCCAGCGGTTTCCCCTGCAGACTTTCTACGGGACAGGATGGAGCAAGTGTCCTTCTTGCTATTTATTTTTCCTCTTTCTTCTTTTTATTTTTGCAGTGCTGGGAGTCAAACTCGGGGCCTTGGACCCATGAGGAACAGCAAGGAGCTCCACTGCTTTAAAAATTCCAGATCTGGGGGCTGGCGATATAGCTCAGTGGCACAAGTGCCTGTCTGGCAAGCATAAGGTCCTGAGTTCAACTTCTGATACCAAAATAAATATCCCAGATCCCTCTGGGTGAATGATTTGGGGATGTTGTCCCCTGATTGATGTATTTTGAAATTTTGTTTTGTTTTTTTCTCTTTGAAATAAAATGGATTTGAGAGGGAAAAAAATCCCAGATCTAGCCAGGAATGGTGGTGAAATGCCTCCAGAGGTTGAAGAAGGAGGAACAAAATTTCAGTTTAGCAACTTAGCAAGACCTTGGCTCAGCGTGAAAAAGGAACAAGGCCAGCAGAGCTGCTTGGTGAGCGTGAGTTTGCACCTCCGGCCGCTCAGAAAAGGACGCCCCTGCAGAGTCTTGTGCTCCTGCCAGGCATGGCATTGCACACTGTCATCCTGGCACTCTGGAGGCTGAGGCAGGAGGACTGCTGAGAGTTTGAGGCCAGCCTGGGCTGCATAGTGAGACCCTGTCTCCAAAAAACAAAAAACCAAAGAATTGCACCGCTGCCCCGCGCACTCTGCACTCTGTCCGGTAGCTCCTGTCAGTTGTGAGTTTACTGGGCTCTAGGAGCCCCCGGCAGCCCCTGCCTCATTTCTCCTCTCCCCTGGACTCCTCGGTTTTCACTTCCCCGTTCAGTCTGCCCTCCCCGGTGCTCACAAAGGATGTATGATAACAGGAGGAGAACAAGGGGGAGAAAGCAGGCAGGACGAGGGGCTGCGTCCTCCACAGGCTCTGATGCTTCACATCCCGTGGATCGCACTGCTTTTCTCTTTCAGAATTTTTGCTTGCTTTTCTTTGTACCTGTTGCTAATTAATCCCCACACTCTTGGGCAGAAGTTACAACACTTTCCCTCCTGCTGGAGCCCCCCTCCCCCCCTCCTCCTCATCTCCCCCTCTTTCCCCTTCCCCTCCTCCCCCTCCTCCCCTCTGCTCTGAGTGCTTCCTGGGCTCCTACAAGCAAACCTCCCTTATTCTTCTCAAATTCCCCTTTCCCCCTCTCAGTTGGATAGCTTTTGTTTTCTGACAGAGAGGATCTCACTATATAGTACAGGCTGGCCTTAAACTCACTATGTAGCCCAGGCTGGCCTCGATCCCTGAGGGATCCTCCTGCCTCAGCCTCTCTCCCTCGTGCTGGGATTATAGGCTGCATCACTGCATCAGGCTCTTGGATAGCTTATTCTCTGAACCTTATGTCTTTTTTTCTCCCTCTTTTTGCTGGATTCATCCTTAAGTAGCTTCCTGAGATGCATGGCAGACGGAGTTTTTGAGGCCTTGTGTTCTGAGCATGTCATGTTCTAGGACATTGCTAGAGTGCCGGGCTGGGGGTAAAAGACCAGGCGGCAGATCCATGTCGCCCTGGAATTTGAAAGCATTTTGGGGGTCATTCTGGGTCCCAGAGAGCTGTCCAATGATGTTCCGCTCTGGTTTTTCCTCTCTCAGACCATTTGGGGTCTCATTTTTGTCACCGCTGCTGGAACTCCCATGTGGAAGAGTCCTCCTGCCGAACTTCATCATCCGTGGTGCTACATTTGGGGAGATCATTTAACATCTGAGACCTGTGTCCCTGCGTCAATTACACTGTTAATTACACTGGTTTCGCTGTTCCTGTTTTCCACAACTCATGTTAGTGAGATGCTGGACCTGACTTATTCCTGGAAGCTTTTCTCTCCCATCAGCCTCATCTGCATGTTTTCTTTATTCTGTTTTCTGGGAGAAGTTTTATATTCAAGTACCTTGTTGAATTTATCACTTAAAAATATACCTGCAAACTGGGAAGGTGGCACCTACCTAAAATGCCAGTTCTTGGGAGGCTGAGGCAGGAGGATCACTGTGAGTTCAAGGCTGGCCTGGACTATCACCAAGGCCTTGTCCCCAGAACAAACAAGGGCTGGGGATTTAGCTCACTGGCATAAGTACCTGCCTTGTCGATGTCCGCTCCCGGCCGGCAGGAAGGACACACGACAAAGCCTGGCAGTGGACAACCTTTTCTTTTATTTTCCTTCTCCGTACAGCCTGCCCTGGGATCGCTCCCAGCCGAAGCCTCCTCTGGTCCGCTCCCCGCGGCTCCTTCTGGGCTTCTACTTCCGGGCTTCTCCTTCCCCGCCAGGGGTGGTACCAGTATATATATGGATACAGTGTCCAATCATGTTAAAGTAAGCAAGGCAAGCTGATTGGCTAACATCATCAGTTGCCAGGCAGACTATATTGTTGAGCGGGTTGCTTACGCGGTAAGCAGGAAACTAACGTGCTCGATGGGAGGGGTAATCTACCTCAGGCTTTACTCTTTACTACAGGCCTCACGTCCGCCAAGTGAGGCGACCGGGCTCGGGGCTGCGGCTCCCAACATCTCCCCCTTTTTTATTTTTTATGAATGTGCGCATCGTAGCCCTTCCTGGACTGGGTGTAGAGGCTTATGCCCTATGTGTAGGCCCACCGTAGGTCCTTGGCTTAGACCCTGGTCGGCCGTCCCATGGTCTGCCAAGGCCCTGAGGCCCTCGTCCTTTTTCTAGGGCCAGGCACAAACTGGACGGAACCTGGATGCACACAAGCTTGCACTCATTTCCTCTCCGTAAAGAAATCCCCTCGGAGAGAAATTTAGACCTGGGCAGCATCTAACAGTCCAGCGGCTTACGTGCAGGATGGGGTAGGGCCTGGCTTAGGTTGAGTCGCACCGGGGGAGTACGCTCTTACCCGTCATTGACTCTCCTACCCAGCTATGTCATAATTTTTTAGAGGAGGAGTGTGGGAAGCTCACCACCCCTAGACTCGGTCGTAGGCTAGGCGAGCGAGCCATGCATATGCCTGAGGATCTTCTTGTCCATTTCGGGCTACCGCTATTTCTATTCATCTTGTTGGTCGGTCTGTGATGGATCTCCGGTAGGGCAGGTCTGATCTTCAGTCGAGGGCTTTGTCGCCCGTGTCAGTCTCTCCGGTACCCACAGTGGTTCTCGTCCCGATTCCTGTGGGAAAACACAAACCGCGCCTCGGTTCCAGCTGACCACTGGATCCGGGCCCATCCATTGTCCTGTCAGGACATCTTTCCACTTCACCCACCCTTTATGGTTGGGGGAAGGGTTGCAGTGCTCTACGGCTGGGGAGCAATTATCATTATTTAAATTTAAAAAATTGTGTGTGAATAGTGCCATGGATAATCGTGCCTTTGGGGCCAGGCCTTGGCCTACTCCCCCTTTTTGTTTTTGTAAAATTTCTTTGAGGCTTCTATGAGCCCTCTCAATGATTCCTTGACCTTGGGGATTGTATGGGATACCATGTTTTAATTGAACCTCCATCATTTTGCAGAACTCATTGAAGGCTTTGCCTATATAGGCTGGTCCATTATCAGTTTTTAATATTTTTGGTTTGCCCCATGCGGCCCAAGCCGCCAGGCAATGATTGATCACATTAGACACTTTTTCACCTGTTTCTGCTGTTGCGAATATGACGTGAGAACAGGTGTCTGTGGAAACATGAACATATTTAAGAGTCCCAAACTCCTGTATATGTGTGATGTCCATCTGCCAAACATCACCAGGGATCAAACCTCGAGGGTTTACTCCCATCGGTATGGCAGGTTTGTATGTGGCACAGGAGTCACATAGTCGCACGATATCTCGTGCATCTGCTCTGGAAACATGGAAATGGTTTGCTAGTGTCCTGGCATTGACATGAAACTTATCATGGAAGGCACGGGCTCGCTCGATTGGTGTTAGTAAGGTAAAAATCCATAACGGGCGAGTGGCAGTATCAGCAGCCGCATTCCCCTGTGCCATAGGCCCTGGCAGGGATGTATGTGCTCTTATGTGGGTGGTGAAGACCTTATGGTGTCTGTTCTGAAGCAATGTCTGGATAGACAGGAACAGCCCAGCCACTGTGGAAGTGGATCTAATTAAACCGGCAGTCTCAAGCACTTGCATAGCATTGACCACATACCTAGAATCGGAGACAATATTAATGGCTTCTGAGAACCGTTCAAGAATCATTTTAACGATCTGCAGTTCCACCACCTGAGGCTGATCAGGTTCAAATTGTATGGTAACCGGGGGCTTGCCTAGGATCACATAGGCGCCTATCCCCGTCTTGGAGCCATCTGTGTATATTGTAGTTGCTGGGACTAATGGCTCAGAGGCAGTAACCTTTGGAAAAATTATAGGGTGCTGAGTGACAAATGACAAGATAGGGTCTTTAGGGTATTGATTGTTTATATCCCCATGGAAAACACATCTCAGAATGGCCCATGTATCTATGCAGGCAGCCAGGGTCTTGATCTGGCTGGCGGTATAGGGTACTCGGATGGCTTGTGGTCCTGAGCCAAAATGTTGGACAGCTCTATCATGCGCTTCAAGGGCCAATGAAGCGACTGCCTCCGGGTAATGCTCTATGACTTTTGCAGGTGAGACCTTAGGGTGTATCCACAGTAATGGTCCTTTCTGCCAAATCACCGCTGTGGGCTGTAGACTAGTCTGTAGCAAACAGACATCAAAGGGTCGCCCTGGTTTAATTCTGTGTAAGGTAGCCCCACCTAAGGCTTTTTTCACTCTCTGTAAGGCAGCTCTTGCCTCAGGAGTGAGCCTCCTGTGGGAGGCTATATCTGGGTCTCCCTTCAGAAGGTCGAACAGGGGTTTGAGATCTGAATTTGGTATATGTAAATATGGCCTAATCCAATTAATGTCTCCCAATAGCTTTTGCATGTCATTTAGGGTCCTAACGCCATCCGTCCTAATGGTGACCTTCTGTATAAGTCTGGAGGCGACACTGAGGTCCACACCTGCTGACCCAGGGGTGGCCCTTGTTGAAGGCTGCCATCCTGAGCTGTCCTGTCTCTGGGGCGGGGGCCCGCCTGTGAAGGGGGCCCCCTCTGGCCGTTTTTTGGCCCTCTAGCATCTCGTCCACAAATACGGTTGCCCTGAGCATCAAAGACCGACCTACACTCCTCAGCTTTGTGTGATCCCCTCTTGCATCGCCCACAAACATATGGTTCTTCATTCCTAGGGCGAGGCCTAGCATCTGTATTGTTTGGGCAATGACGTTTAATGTGTCCTGGCTCCCCGCAGGCAAAACACCCTTTAGCCTTACATTCCCCTTCTAACCCGCGAGGTCCCCTCTGCTGTACA